ACAAAACCTAACTATCTTGTGTTGGCCTTTCTGACTCTTCGTTTGCCTTCTTTCTGTCTGCAGTCTTCTCTCGCTCTGCCATGCTCTCCGCTTCGTCGCACATGCACAACCATCCTCTCAGCAGCGTTCGCTGCTGGCTTCCAGGTGCACCGAATTCAAAGTCGCAAGTGACAGGGACTGCACTGTGCCCGTAGCATCTGAGTGCTCTGCTACGCAATCCCCACCGCCTTAGGACGTGTCGATTATCTCTTTCGCCGGGAGTTGTTTCAACCCCTGCCAGGGCTGTGCTTGTTGGACCATTGTGTTCCCACTGCCTTCCACTCGGAAAAGCCCTCGCTCCTTTAGATGCCAGGGTGCCGCCTCGTTCAAGGCATCGACCGCCGGCTCCCAGTCCTGTCCGACTGCGGCTTTCGGGCTTAGCAGGGTTTGGGGATTCATCTCTCTTGCAAGACCTATTGTGTCCTTTTTCCAACAAACGTCATGCTTGAACTGACAACCACAAACAGTATGGTTTCGTCACGCAAGTCGCACCAGTTGCAATAATCTTAATACCATGGGCGCTTTACCTGCTCTTGTTCGTATTGGCTTCAAGGTATCACCTTGCTTACACCTTGCTTAGCCGATCATTCGCTCTGCTCTCCCTGGTGTATTTCACCTCAGGCTTACCTTGTTCATTGCTGGCTTGTTGAAAGCACATGGCCGGTGGTCAATCGTCTCGTATCATACGACTACCACAGCAAGTGCCACGCTGTTGATGACACTTGCTCGTCAATCCTGCGATCAAAATGAAGCAAATTTGACGAGTTGAGCCTCACAGCTTTGAAGCCGGTCTGCAAGGACTCTTGTAACAAACAAAGATCAAACCCGCGTCAACAGAAGAGCCTCACTTTCGTGCACAAACTTGGGCACGCCCTCGCACTGCCTCTTTGAATATTCATTCGTCGTCCATGAAGTACCTGAAGCCGTCGGGTTTGCTGGAATCCTTGATGCGCGTGATGCAGGTTCCTTCCGTGAAGTAGACGGTGTCGCGGTCGTCATCAGGGCCCTGCAGGGTATAGAACATGTCTCGCATCCATGCATCATTGTCAGTTGGCCCGCTGCCAGAGCTGCGGCTGATGCTGCGGCTGCGGCTCCGGCTGCGGCTGCCGCTACGTCCCGGCGGGATGACTACCTCCAGCTCTGTGCCGTCTGGCACTGAGGCGGGCGCAGGCTTGGTGTGCAGGAGTAGCTGCACGTCTTGGAGGTTCGAGGCTGCCCACTCCCTGCTGTTCTTTAACACAACCAGCACGTCGGCCAAAGGTACGTTCCCGGCACCGCGGAAATTCAGCTGCACGGCCTGTTTGTTGGGGAGTCTTGCCGTGATGACCATGGCGGGGCAAGGCGAGAGCCGAGAGCTGCGGTGCTTTTTGCATGAGGATGTTGTGCCTCGTGCTGCTGGCGCGGTGAGAGGTGCAGTTCTTCAGTCTTACGTCCGCTGCTTTGTTGCTGCTGAGCTTCTTGCTGTTAAGCTTCATGCTTCTAGCATTACTGTAGTGCAGTCATTCGACGTGCAAGGAAGCGCGCTGCATAACGTCTAAATGCCTGCGGCATGGCACGCGCAAGCTTAAATGTTAAGCTCTGGCACAGGCAAGAACGTTCGTCCATCTTCCTTCCGTCACCCTCGTTTTTCCGAAGGCTGCGACACCAATCATCAACAAGCATCGCAAGCTTCTGCAGGAAAGCTTGTGCACTTTTGCGCTTTGCATGCCCTCGCCCCTGCTTACCTACAGATGGATCGCCCCGCGGAATCAAACCTTGAGCCCTGTCCTGGCGGAAGTCATCCATGAGCTCCTTCTGAGGCCGAGGCAGAAGAGGATCTAGGGTTTAGGGTGCTTCGAAACCTTAATGCTCAAACCTTAAGCACAGTACCTCGCACAGCCTAGCAGATAGCCGCAAGGATGTCTCTCACATTGCAATACCAACCTGAAGCCAATTCCAGACCTTCATCTACTCCTTTGCGACCCTCGGACAGCGCTGACAAGTACTCAGACGAGGAATGACTCGTTGCGGCCGGTTGGTGTTTGGTGTGTCCACCTGCCGAACCGTCTGAAGCCTGAACCCCTAGACCCCTCAACGCTGAACCGCAAGACTCGACGCCTCGGAGCGGGGACTCGGCCAGCAGGTCATAGCCAGGGTGTCAAAGTAGGGTTTTCCGAACTGATCCTTTTAACATATAATAGGGGGCCGGCCGCTGGACGTACGTCGACAATCCCCCTGACGGGTGGTACTCACATCTTGCGGAGTGAGTTTCCGGCTTCCGACTCAGCTCAACCCTTTCGGCCACTGGACGGTTTCGACTCACACACTCGCACAAGGCTGGACGGTTTAGGGTTTAGGGTTTCCTAATCCCCGAAGCAGAAGGCGTTTTGACACTCGAAGGTCCTGTGTCGCAGCAGTTCCCTGCCGCGCTTGCACTCGCTGGGCAATGCCAGCTCTGTCACTAGCGCCAGAATTTTACATGGTCGCTTGTCAGCTGCGAAGCTGAAATGAACGAAAATGATTAACTTGAAGTTTGTTTGCCCTTGCTCACCCCAGCCGGGGCAATCCCCACAAATCTCTACAGTCGCAACAGCAGGCACTGTGCTGCGACAACGGCGTGGAAGGACAGTAACCATATCAGCCGAGTCATGCAACATACCTGCATACATGAAAGCCGATCAAGAGTGGAACAAGGAGGCCTGAAAGCATTCCTGCTGAGTTGGGGGTTTCGGATCGAGGGGCTTCGGGGCTTCGGATTTAGGGGCTTGGTTCAAGGCTCGGGGAGTGTACGGTTTAGGGATTTCCTCCATCCCTGGTCCACCTCAAACACTTCACGGGTAGTGCGGGGAACCGCCCTTGGCATTGGCAACAGCTCTCCGAGCCGAACGGAATGGAACAGTTGAAATGACATGCCGTGCTCGACTGCGAGATGCTCTGGCATTGCAGCATCACAACATGATAAAGTACCTCAATAGTATCACATTCTAGTACTACTGTATATTATAATACTACCGTTTTTGTCTATTAATCTGGCACCTCCTGCCGCGGCAAGTCAGGTTGTGCTGCGCGAGAGTGTCATGCGTGTCTGGAGACTACGATGTGCCATTTTGTGCTGATGTCTGCTTCTGCTGTCCTCCACTTTGGATTCCTAGGGCTGAGCTTCGGGCTTAAGTTTTCCAACTTAGGCTTCAGGGTTTAGAGTTCAGGCGTGTGGGGAAGTATTCGGCGGTCCCCCCTTCTGCACCAGTATAAAATGGGGCAGGGAGAAGCCCTCTGCTGAAGCCACTCTGGGGCGCACCAGGTCCGGCCGAGTGCGCTGTGCCGAAGTGAACCACATCTTCAGAACTACAAGGCATAGACTGCTTGAACATAGACCCTCAACGTTTTATTCGCTTGACATTTAGATTGCACGGTCTCTTTTTCCAGCCACTACTACTCACTCGGATTCTCTCCAGTTGCCAAAGCCTGAGCCCCGACTTGGGACCAGAATATACTCTCGGCGTGGTTAGAACAACGATTACGATCCCTCAACCCTAAGCCCTAAAACCTAAACCCTAAACCCTAAATGATCACGATCATGACAGTGGCAATGGCGCAAACCAGCACTGAAAACTGCAGCATCATTTGTCGATAAAACTTCCCAGGGCCCCAAAAGCTGACCTGATAAGTAAGGACCCTTATTCCAAGGACAAGGAACCCCAATAAAGAGACCTGATAAGTAAGGACGCTTTTGGAACACTTAACCCTAACGTGAGAAATCCCACCCTGTCTCAGCTCGGAGAAGTGGAAACGTCCCAGCACTCTGGCGCCCTGGCAAACCGCCCCAGCTCCCAAAACCCCTCTACAGTGCGAGTCCGCCTGCCGAGCTCCATGATCGAACCTGTAACGATAACACAGAGTAGCAATGATAGTGGTACCCGTAATTGTGAAAGCGGTTTTCCTCATACGTGCTGTTAGCATTGACCTGCTACGGCTTGAGATCATCTAGATTGGGATAAAAGCAAGCTGAAGGGCCACAACGATATGACAACAAGCCAAGACCGTGATGGTCGCCGGACCCTTTTTTGAGTCTGTACCGTTCGTACTGCTGCTTCTGCTTCGTAAATATTTCTTCTCTGTCTGGTAGGCATCGTGGCCTCTGGACTGAGACTCGGTTAGGGTTCGTTCCTTTAGGCCGGGGGATACAAGATGACCGGCGACCAGAACGGACTTCTTGTGGGCATGGGAAGACGCGAATGCAGTGCAGACGAGACGACGAAGACTACTTCTACTTCTACTTCTGCTACTACCACCACCACGACCACTACTAGCACTACTACTATCACCACTACTATCACTACTACTGCCACTGCCAAAAAAAGTTGCTATAGTACTCGCAGTTCTGCTGTCACACGGATCTCCTTGTTGAGAAGACGGCTCGCGGACTCTTGGACGCCCTTCTGTACAAGGCGCGTATCAAAAGCAGTCCATAAGGGAAGGTCAAGGCTGAGAGGGTGCATCGAAGTGTACCAGCGGATTATGACAGAGCGCGGAGAGGCGAGAAGAAAGGTGCGTGCTTTCAGGGCCGAAGTCGTTTGGCCAACACGAAAGGGCACACTTTTCAAAGAGTCTCCCGGAGAGCCGGGAAGCTCCCAAGCCTTCTCGATGTCTTCTCCCTCTCTGGCGAGTCCCAAAGTCGCATGTTTAGTGGGGATGTCTGTGGAGTCGCATTGATACCAGTATGCGTGTGTGGCCCCTGGGTTTTCTGTAGGTCTCTCTCCTGCTAGGGAGCAGTGGAAAAAGACCTGCCGAAAAAGAAGCCTACTGATGCACCGTGCTGGCATCGGCATAAAGTCGGCCGATCCTCATATCAAATTGAATTCGGCATGCGTGTTTAGTGTATTCTGCTAGCTCCGGTTCTTACCGGCGTCCGGGACAAACTCACCGGAGTTTGCAGCATATTCCGACGACAAACCTCCATGAGGCTTGCACGATAGACATTCTCAGGCATTGCTCTCCTTGCTCTTGTTCTCGAGCGGACCAAACTTCGACCGTGCCGCTTGGAGGATGTGGCGGCCGTTGGTGGTGCGGCGAAGCTTGGGACCCATCAAAGCAATCAAGCTGAGAACCCTCTGGGCCTCAGCCCCCTGAGAGATGACGATGACACGCTGGCACACGTAGTTGCCGAAGCGGTCCAAGGCCACCCTGACGAAGAGGGGATCCTCTTCGCCCTCCGAGCCCAAGATGCGTTCTACCAGGGCACCCCTGGCCGGCCGCAAGGGCTCTGCCAAGTCCGGCCGGCACAGGGCCTCCAGGCAGCTCTCGAGGACCAGGCTGGCGTGTCGATTCCGGGCACAGCTCAGCAGGTCCCCTGCACAGAGGAGAAGGGGTCCTTTCTTTGAGAGTGATATCGCAGTAGTTAGGGTCATATAGGGTTCGTGGGCTTTGGGGCCATGGGATACTGTACCCTGTTGTCGGAGACCCCACCTTCCAAGAAGAAGGCGACCAGGCTCTGCACGCGGGGCGCGCTGGCACGGAGCAGCATCGAGCGGAGGACGTTGTGCCCATGGGCACTGGTCACGAGCCTGCCCAAAGCCTCCGACTCCAGCAAGGAATCCAGGATCTGCTTCATGTGTTCATTCTCATGGTTGCCTCAGAAACCCTAAACCCTAGCACAGAGATGCACCGATAGAACTCCAACCTTCTAGGCTTCTTGCCAGCAAGCTGCAATGCTCCATGATGCGCTGAAGCACTCGCCCGGAATAGAGGTTGAGCCTTTCAGCTTTCGGCCGGAGGCAAAAGGACGGGTGGGATTTTTTTGAGGCGCGCAGGGTGCTCAACGTGAATTTCTGGGGATGATACTTTAGGGCCTCGACTCACACACTCGCTCACGCAGGCATGGCAGGTTCCATCCGAGCTTCTGTAGGGTTTAGGGGTTTAGGGTTTAGGGTTTGGCACTAAATGTTGGGCCCAAGCAACGAGGCCGCCACTGCGTTGCCCACCAGCTCTCCGAGCATGGGATGCACCGCTTTCGCGGGGAAGAGCTCGATGCACCTGAAAAGAGGGGGCGCTGGTTCCGGCCTCACTATCTGAAAGTTGCGAACCTCAGCAAGAGACACCCCTTCATCTCAGGGGGGTCACATAGGGGGGCTCGGAATTTTTATATAAGAGTCTTGCAGCTCTATGTCTTGGGCCAAGGATGCCAGCCGACCCCAACCCCCCCGCCTTTGCAACACGAAGTTGCCGTACATGTGGCGAGAGCAGGTGAGCACGCGGCCACGCAGCTCCAGCACCAGAGCCTCCACGAACTCCAAGCCTCACAAAAAGGCTTTACTTGGAGGTTCATGGATAGTTATAAGTGGGGTTATAAGCCCCCTAATATGGGTTATAACTATAGTTACCCTACTTATAACCCCACTTATAACTACCCATGAACCTCCAAGTAAGGTTTGGCCGGAACCTCTCAGAGCCACGGTTTAGGGTTTAGGGTTTCGGCGACCGACACGCCGCATCAGCAATGAATGAACTCAGGAAGACAAGCTGGGCCAAGCCTGCGAACCCTTGCTACCAAAAACGAAGCCCTGCTTGGAGGTTCATGAGTAGTTATAAGTGGGCTTATAAGTAGGGTGACTATAGTTGTAACCCATATTAGGGGACTTATAACCCCACTTCTACCTACCCATGAACCTCCAAGTACAAACATTAAACCCTGAACCCTAAACGACACACGCTGATAAATGGCCCCTGAAGTTGGGGGAGGCAGTTTCACGCCGTATACCTCCCTCCAAAATCCGGAGACATCCACATCGGCTCAGGACTTCTGATACTAATACCAATCATGAAATCATAATCGCAACCATAGTGGTATTAATAATGCTAGTGCCAACAATACTACATCAGGCCAGCGAGCGCGTTGGCACGAAAGTCTATAACATGCCGGCTCATAGATGCACACATGTGCATTTTATGTGTGTGTGTGTGAACAGTCTGCATAAATACAATTACACACCCACATACAGATATACATATATATATATATATATACGTGCACACATACATAAATACATATGTATATAGATAGATAGATAGATAGATAGATAGATATAGATGCATATATGTTCCACATACACACATACACGTGTATGTACGTGTTGAAACATGACAAAAAATATCACCGACTGCAATACGAAATCCCAAACGGCAGGAGTTGGCTCCTCGCCTACGCGCATATCCAGATAAATATGTATAGTGTGTTTGTGGATATGTATATATACAAGTGCGTTTGTATATGTGTATATATACATATAAGAGTGTCTGTATATATGTACATACACCTACATGTACACACACAATGTGTGTGTGAGAGAGACGTGTATGTATGTATGCAGGCATGCATGCATGCACGGCTGTACGTGTGCATGCATACCTGCATGTGCGTGTGCAGGCATGTGCGTATGTATGTGTCTCTTGGTGAAACGAATGCGGGAAAGACTACATATACATGTCAGATGTGCATACATATACGGCATGGTACGTATGCCTTTATGCGTGCAGAGCGTGTGGTGCGCGTCTGAGTGTGCATGCAAATTCGATGCTTACGACCCCATGTATGCTCCAGTTGACCTGCATAAAAATATCCACATAAAGACAAACTGAGATACCCTTATATGCATGCTGATAAAAAAAAATATGTTTGTAATTATGTGCACACTACCATTCCATAATCGTTTGAAGACGCAATACACAATGAAATGTCGTGCAAGTTGGTGCAAGGTCCCGCCGAATAGCACTACACAACCTAGCAGAATACCAAAGTACCTACAATCTCACGTGCAACAGCATAGAGATTAGATTCAGATTTGTTTGAAAGATAGAAAAGCGCCGAGATAAGTCTAGTGCCTCAGGTGCTGCAACATACTCCTGTGCACCAGACTAATGACGAGGCATGGTTTATATAACGAGGACCAAATCCATGCACCCCAGATCCCGTAAGCCGCCGCCTCCACTCTGAAGGCCTTGCTGGACGATCCAGCACCTCGGTCGGCACACAAGAGAGTAAATCCAATCATCACGATCATCTTCATCAAGTTGTCGTCCTCTTCCCTATGCTGCCTTTCGTCATGAACATCATGATCTTGGAACAACTCGTCCTCATCACACCCGCCCTTGCCATGGTATTCAAAATCAACGCTGTTACCATCGCCATCTTTACCAGCAAACTCGCTTTCATCACCTTCACCACTAACTTCAAGATAAACATTCTCATTTTCTGAGCATTATAGCCATCGTCCTAAAGCGAAAGCAGCGGCTTGGGGTTTAGGGTTTAGGGTTTAGGGTTTAGGGTTTAGGGATTAGGGTTCAGGGTAAATCCTGCAAGCACTCCTGTGTAGGCCAGATGCCTTTGAAGAGATGCTTGAAAGCGGAAGATTGATGTCTGGTTCAACCTCAAACCCCAAAGCTCGTCCCCAAAAGCGGAAGTATACATCTCCACGTCCTTCTTTTGTCTTTGCGGCAACCCTTCCATGAAGGAGAAAGGCAACAAACTCTTGGGTAGTTCTCTAGATTAGGGTCCGTTGTGAGGTCCCCAATAGAGTACGGCACCCTTCTCCAAAAAAGGACCCCTAAAAGGGATCCCTACTTTTAGAGAGAACTACCCAGATAGAACCCTTAAAGCACCCTTATAGAAACCCCTGTAGATCCCTTTAAGGAACCCCAAAAAGGGACCCTAATTTAGAGAACTACCCAAAACCCCAAACCCCTATAAACCCCAAAAGCTCCCTATCAACCCCTCTAAACCCCCATAGACCCCCTAGAAAAAAACCCTGCAAATCCCTATATTTTTTGTTTAGAAGGCCCTCTCTCACAGCCAGCGCATAAAAAAGGGCGCCCGTGCTTGTCCCTCACGAGGTGAAAGAGCGAGCCCCGGAGTCGATGGATGATCCTCCGGCCCCCGGGTTTTTTGGTTTTTTTGAAAGGCTTGGAGCTTTAGGCTCTCACAACTCGGACAAGCTTGGAGCTTTAGGGTTTAGGGCTTTGGGGCTTTAGGGTTTTAGGGCTTTAGAGTTTAGGGTTGCCTTTTTGTTTTAGGGAGGGGGCGGGGGGAGTGTTAGGGTTCTTTTGTTTTTTTTGGGGGGGGGATTAGGGGGTTTAGGGTTTAGGGCTTTAAGGTTCAAGTTGTTAAGGTTTAGGGGCTTAGGGTTTATTAGGGGTTGTATCAAGATTGCTATAAGGGGTGCCATAGGGGTTTGATGGGTTTAGACTTTCGCAACTCGGGCAATGCAGGCGATAGTTCTGATGAGTTTAGGGTTTAAGACTCTTTTTTGACGGTCCTTTTCCGATCTGCAACCGGATTCAGGGTTTAGGGCTTAGGATTCAGGGTGGTTTCGGCTCGCACACTCACACAAGGCAGGCACGGATTCCAGAAATGGGACTTTGAGCTTTGGGTTCTGGAGCTACCGGCTTGGGATTCAGGGCTTAAGGGTCTAGTTTCAGGGCCTGGAGCCTGGGGCTGGGGGGAAGTTGCGTTCAGAGTTCAATCAGGGTTTCAGGGGCGTCCCGGTAGGTGCCTCTGACATGGCGGCCCACGCCCGGACCGGGTCTGATCACTCTTGGAGGAAAAGAAAATACCACGGTGGCCGCCCTATGCCATAGCCGATCGAGCATGGAGACAGTGGGACATGACCGCTTGAATTTCAGAAACCCCTTTCGTTTCAAACCTTTCGCCGTAGGGCCCCCGAGCGAGCGCAGATGGTTCTAGAAGAAACATTAAGGAGACCTTGAAGCGCAAGAAGGAATACAGCTGGCTATGTGTGGCTGGTAACTTTTTTTTGCTTCCTACATTACTGGCACTCTTTTTCCTAAGGTTCAACCACACTCTCCGGGGTGATCGACTAGTGATTAACGCAGCTCTGACAGGCGGGCCTGCTGCGCAACTCGCCGGTGAAGAGAGGCTGGGACATGAGCTTTGAGATCACCTGACACAGTGTGACATTCGGGCTTGCAAGAAGTGGGCGCCTCTGGGACATCGCACTGTCGTCTCAACTCCCCACCTGCACTTCTCCAAGAACTACCCGAGGTGAGCGTTTGGGGCGTGTTTGGGGCAGGGCCGTCGTTGCAAGGAGAACAGACATCCCAGCCCCGGGCATGGGAAGGAATCCGACGCAGCGTGGGCCTGATTCAACATCAGAGCTCCTGTTCTCAGCATGGGGGACTTTTGCGATCCTGCATAGCAGGCGCAGGTGACGAATCGAGTCGTACAGCCGGCTTGGGGTCAAATTTGGCACCAGTAACTATGGCAAGATCATCGTCGTCAAGCTTCTCTTGCATCTTTATTCAGATGAACCCATCAGCACTATAACCCTGACCTCCATGTAACACCATCAGCACCGTGACGACTCTAGAACTCACTGTTGCCGCCGTCGTCAGCATCGGCATCATCATCCCCGTAGTCTACGGCAGTTTGCGGGCCCAGCAGCTCGTGATGCATTCGGATCGCAAGAGAGCTGGGGCAGGCAAGGCAAGGTCGCAGCCACCTTGGAGCCACCACTACGACCGCTACGAGGCTGAGGTAGCACTTGAAAGCAAAGGCTGTTTTTCCCATGTGCACAAGGGAAAGAGGACAGGTGTGGGGTCGTAAGAAACGACCCGGCTCTCTCTGTTGTGTTCTGGATTCTGGGCAGCTGCAGCTGTCAGTCTGCCTCCCCATTCAGCCTCTCGAAACCGGAACCCGAACACCGGAACCAGAACTGCACTTCTCCGTCCAAGCTGCCAGGGCTGCCCACAGCACAGGAAGAGCCTCTCCACTGGCAGCTTCCATCTGCGCACAGATCCGATCCTGGGAGAGTTTCGGGTTTATAGGGCGTATAGGGCTTATAGGGTCTATAGGGTTTAGGGCTTTAGGGGAGAGTTTCGGGTTCGGGGTCCCGGCTCGCACAGCTCGCGGAGGGCAGGCACGGTTGAGGGGTTCGGGTTTCGGGCTTCGGGTGACAATGTCGAAATCGAGGTGCAGGAAGGCCGCGCTAGCATGCTCTATTTCTCGAAAAATCTTCCGAACTGAACACAGAGACGCACAGGAATTCCAGGACATAGCTGCAGTCTGAGCTTCTGCACCCTCAGCCGTTTGGAGAGTCTCAACCAGCGCACCCTCCTTCCTGACCAGAAGCTAGACACGAGTGGGCGTTTTTCCCTCTCTCATGGCCAGGATTCATGGACTTAGGCCTTGGCTCGCAGTGGCTCCAGTCATGCACAACCTCATAACTTGGAGAAGCCGTGAAGATCTCAATGTCCCAACTTCTTCCATCAACTCTGTCCCTAAACCCTAAACCCTGAGCCCTAAAAATCCCCTTTGGACCCCCCAGAGGGATGTCCTCTCGGTCTCCTTCTCCCGCGACCGGCGCCGGACCAGAAGGTGCGGTAAGACTCCCTCGAGCCTCAAACAAAAAAGGCAACAGCGAGAGCTGTTCGGACTCCAAGAGGTGGGGTGTTTGGGGTTTCGACTCACACACTCGCAAAGCAGGGTTTAGGGGGGTTTCGACTCTCACACTCGCGGGGTTTAGGGTTTAAGGTTTAGGGTTTAGGGTTTAGGGAGTTTAGGGTTTCGCGTTTCGGTTCAGTCATGAGTGTGCTGCAAGGAGCTTGGGCTTAGGTGCTTCCGTGGCTTCGTGCCCTTGGGGGCCCTTCTTGGGGCTTTTTAAGCCGAGAGGCCCCTCAGCCTCCTGTTCCGGCCCCGGTGGTGTAGGGCCCGCCTGGCCTTGGCCGTAGCCTTCCAGACCCGGCGGTGGTCGAAACATCGCGCAGAGCGCGCTGGATGGGGGGGTGAGGGCCCTTCTTAAACAGCCCTTAAGGGGCCGCGGAAAGGAATGCAGGAACGGGAACTTCTGGGAGCCAAAATGGCTCGAGGGTGAAACAAAGGCCCCGTCTCTCAGAGGTCCTGCAGGCGGGGCGCTCGAACCTCTGGGAAAAGATTGCCTGCTGAAGCCTGGGCTTCAGCTCCCAGAAGTTTGCCTGAAAGCCTGACAACTCGCACAGCTTGGAAGTTTAGGGTTTAGGGTTTAGGGTGCAGGGTGTAGGGTTTAGGGTTTGAAGACTTGCGGCATCATCTGGCGACAGGTCGAAGCATCTGTGCGACGAGCAAGGGCCCCTTGCCTTAAAAGCCCGCTTACTAATCTCTTGAGCGGCAGCGCTCCCCTTGCTCCGTGGTAGCCAGAAACGATCTGCAAAGCCTGAATGAAGTACAGGAGAGTGAAGATCTGAGCCGCCCCGTCTCTGATGGGATGTGCTGAAGACGCAACAAAACAAGCGTCACGGCCAGCCAGAAACCCGAGCCCTCATAGTTCCGATGTGCCCAAATTCTAAACTAACAGCAGTGTAACCTAAAGCCTTATCCTGAAAATGCAGCCTTCCTGTTCTGTTGAGATCGCTCCTGTGCCAGCCGCTCACCCAGGGCTTCCGGAGAAGGATCCTCCTGATACCAAGCTTTGTTAGTGGAGGTGTTGAAGGATTTGACGTCTATGGGTTCGCCTCATCTCAACTGGAAGACCCAACCGTCCGCCATCCCAAAACCCCAATACCTCCACTGTACTCCCGACTGCCGGTATGCCTGTGACCCTCTGCCTGCACAGCCACGAACAGTGCCACGCGAGGCCTCTGATGGCTCTGCATCCGGGCGCGGCACAGCACCGCCACGTGGGCCCCGCTGCGACAGATCCTCTGCCTGACGGTGTGATTCTACAGGATGTTGATGGTCGATGTCACTGCTACCAGTTACCAGGAATGCCGGACTTTGACTGGGTTCCCGCCTCTGGGGTCCGAGGCTTTCGACTCGGCACACCACCAGGCAAGGATAGGTCCAAGGCGGCCAGCGTGAAACCCCCCTTTAACTCTGCTTTGTTTTGGTAGTCAGCAGTCCTAGACCCTCAGCTCGCTTTGAAGAAATCCCCGGCACCTGGTCGCCGCCCTCGCCTTGCGGCAAAGACCTCAGCTCTATGCTGCAGGAGAGCGGCTGCAAATCCCTATGTAGTTTTAAGGGTTGACCCATGTGTCAGGGCATAGGGATATGGAATGTTACGGATTCGGATTTGGGAAGGCTTCATTCGGTTCTGGCCCCCGCCAAATCCAGAATCCGCCTCGTGGAGGAGTTTTAACTCGGGTGGGGGGGGGCATGCTTGTTGCAAAACCTTCCGGCTATGCTGGATCTTGGATCCCGAGTGTGTTTCAGTCTGGTTCTTACAGACGGCAGATCTGTCGAAACAAGCACCAATGGATGGATGTCTGGGAGGTGGCCGACTCGCAACGGCAGCTCCGATAAATCGCAAGAAGGCATTAAACATCATGAGGGGAAATGTACGCATGCATGCATGCATGCATGCATGCATGCATGCACGAACGCACATGCATATGTCTGCTTGCGTGTGTGTGTGTGTGTGTGCGTACGTATGTATGTATGTATGTATGTACGTACGTACGTATGTATGTATGTACGTATGCATGTGCGCCCTAAGTATGCTTTCTTCACGGCTGAATGTCTGCTGCAATCCAACTAGATATGTTTGCGCACATAAAGACTGCGATGAAGATAAACTACGGTACCATTCAACAACAAGACATGTTTCCGTGGATGTCTTAGAAAAGCCGACAGTACGGATAGTACTAAATCAAACAACCTGCGGCAACGCAAAGTTCTGATCTGGACATCACCATGAACCTTACTGACAAGGCCTGTATCGCTGGTACATCTATATATCAAGTAGCTAAAAGTCATCACGGCACACAGTTGCGATTCACGTGTGCATGTGTTCGATCTCGGGCAGGTGTATGTGCATGTTTTCAGCTTCGTAGATCGTGCCTGGTTCTTGCGTGTTGTCATTCTGTGCTATATGCTGCCAAACCCTACACTACAGAAGTCTACATCCAATGTGTCACATGCGCGCTCGCGTCATGCCTGCATCGTTGTCTCATTGTCTGTTCCTTTTGCTCATGGACAAGGGCATAGGGATTGCCTTGATGCAGTCTCCGCTCATGCTACTTCAAGAGTCTGTATGCAGACTTGCACACTGTCACTTTTGACAGCTCCGTAGGCTACCCTTTAATCGTCGTTTGCAGTGTTTCGGTTCTGTCCCGTTGATTTTGCCAGGAAGTATCATGCATGTCATATAGAAATACACGAGTATCTCTAGTTCTATGAATGCAAACACACGAGCATCTCTAGTTAAATGTATTCATATACATACAAGTCGCTGAAGGCTGAAGGTTCATCCGCATGATGTCATAAACTTTCAGTGTTTTGTATGTGTATATGTGTGCCTTTAGATGTACGCAAATATGTATATGTACGAAGTATAGCACGTGTCAGGCAGTACGGTGTGCATATACACGAATACACACACAACCCTACCCGCATTTTGTGCAAGCTGTGTATCAAGCCTCCGAATCTTCATGCAGTCCCCCTCCTCCATGTGTCGGAACTGTCCCCGAGCCTGGCTTTGAGGCCGTGGCGTGGGAGTGTCGTCACTGCCTCCCTTCGCCTGCAAAAGCCATCAGGGCCGGCATGGAGCGACACATCGACCTCTATCTCTCTCTCTCTCTCTGCCTTCTTCCGCCGGGTCTGAGGGGCGGGTCAGGCCCCCCGGCCCATAGGACCCCCCAAGGTTTTCGTTGGGACTTTCGGGGGGAACAGTACACTATCTCTCTCTCTCTCTCTCTGCCTCTCCCTCTCTCTCGGTCTGATCACAACTGCTAGGTGCAAGTGAACCATGTCTGGAGAATGCGATGGGCTGTCAGCTGAAGTCTGGAGTTGCGAACTCGAAACCCCAAAACAGCATCGCCTAACTCTGCTCGGTAGCAACCTCCTTTCCGGTGAGATGATGTGACCAGGCAGTAGAACACTCGATTACAGCCACAACCCGTAAAACCTTCGGGAAGTCCCTGAAAAGTCGATCACAAGCTGCCTTCGCACCCTCGGAGGAAGCGGCGAGTGCCTCGCTCAGCTGCACCACCATCCTCGAAGCCCGGTTCGGGCTTCGACTTTTCTGGGGGTTTGGGTTCAAGGCTTCAGCTTTCACGGCTCGGGCCTTCAGGCTAGGTGCGTTTGGGGGTCCCCTGCGCCTCCGCCTTCCGCTTCTCCTAGATTGCAGGGTTTCAGCGGGCGGAAGATGCAGGGTGAACACCACCACCGAACACACGTCACAAACAACACCAAGCTTCTCCAGTAGTCGGAACAGCAACGGGTCGATGAGCTCTGGATACCTTGGAATTTGAGTGCTGTGTCAGCTCAAAGACGGACGGAGGAACGGAGGTGGAAAGTGGATTCGAATGGACACTCAGCATGGGCAGCATGGGGCCTTCTCCGTGTTCCATCGCCCCTCACCTGCACGCCTTCGTGCCCTTGAGGCAAGCACAAAAAACTCGGATGACCCCGCCTCTTGGTGAGCCGTGGCAGCTCCAGTTCCTTCAAAGTCTCGGCCCAGCGTGACCTCAAAGCCTCATCGGGCCAATCGGCGTCCTTAGAGAGCACTCAGAGATACAAAAAAATTGTGCCATGAGGTTTGGCCCTGTCTCGGGGGTTTGGGGCCCCTGCTTCAGAACACCGTCACTGCCTCCTGGCCCTGGGTCAATCAAGAGACCCCACTCTGAGAAAGACATCTGAATCAGGACGGCTGCCAATGTGTCCAAAAGAAAAGAAAAGTGCATCATCTTCCTCGACAATCTTTCCTCTCAGTCAAAATCTCGAACCCCGTGCTTTCTGCACATCCCCCGAGACACACGCAAGCACAACTTCGAGACCTACAAGGAGATTGCTTTTTGTTCAACTCGTGCCAGCAGCCAACCCCCCAAACCCTCTTAGACTAACCCGGATCCGCAGCAGAAGGGAAGAAAAGGGGCCCCAGCAGCCTGGCAGCCCACCAAGGAAAGGCCAAAAGCCTCAACTCCAAGCCGAGGTGCCTCCTCCCAAATCCTGCCATTTTCCAAGGCCAGCCGCCAACCTCTGAGGCCGTCCGCGATCTGCTGCCAGCCGAACGCAGGGTGGGCCTGTTGTTGCGGGAAGTAATGGAAGTAGAATGGTGGTGGTAGTCGTAGTAGTTGTAGTAGCAGCAGCAGCAGCAGCAGCAGGAGTAGTAGCAGTAGAAGAAGCAGCAGCAGCAGCAGCAGGAATAGTAGTAGTAGTAGTAGTAGTAGCAGTACTACTACTACTACTACTACTGCTGCTGCTGCTGCTACTACTACTACTACTACTACTACTAGTACTAGTAGTAATAGTCTCAGCACAGCAGTCGTCGCGGTAGTCGTCGTAGCAATGGCAGGAGCCATAGCAATGGCAGGAGCAGCAGTAGTAGTGGTGGTAGTAGTAGTAGTGCTGCTACTACTACTACTACTACTACAACTACTACTGCTACTACTCCTACTACTACTACTACTACTACTACTACCCTACTACTACTACTACTACTACTACTACTACTACTACTACTACTACTAGTAGCAG